GTGTGCGTATTTACATTTAGATGTGCGTATGCTGATTTTTGCTCCTGCAGTACGCGTTTAATTAACTACATATCAGCAGTACAGTACGGATACGATGAATAACTAGTGTGTTAGAAAGAACTTTTTTGTAATGCTATTTTGATAAGACTTTCGTCAATGAAATAAACATTTCAGCATTCGAGAGAGAATACAGTCACTGACGTCCTTTTTGGTCGGTGCATGCAGACAGGTAAAATTGTGCAATGATATCAAAACTAGGCTAGGCTACGGCCTAGTAGTAGTAGTAGGAGGAGGAGGAGGCCAGGGCGGCGGCCTCCTGCCTGGTCGTAGGCCTACATCTAAATTTGTTCCTTAAGTCTTTAAAATAGGTCTACAATATTCCTATTAAACGTTCAGTTTGTTGTGTTTATGAGGGTCCATTGATTCAATGAATTCCTTAATTGTTCATGTAGCATCAATCAATAATGGTAAAGAGTGAAACAAGCTCGTAAAGTAAACTCGTGTTTATTCAATACATTAACACAACATGGCAAGACGTCGCTCGTCTCCCTAGAGTATTAGAGGGCACTATTACTACACCTTTAAGTATGATACGTGTTTTCTGGATGTATTATTATAGTTCTGTATTAAGGTCTTACATTGATTGTTGGTTTTAGAATAAATATCATTATTATTATTTTGATTATTTTGTTACATGTCTCCTTTTTTTTCGTGTGTGTGAACAATTAAAACACTGTTATAAATAATAGTCCTCAAGTTAACATGAACAAAACTCAGTAATCATTGTATATTTAAAGTACAACAATGTCTATAACTTTTCAACATGCATCATAAACTGGTAGATCATTGGTCAATTAAAGTCCATCAATATAAAATATTTTATGATTTAAAACAGTCACTGTAGTATTTGGGATTGGGTTTCACAATCCTGCCGCTACGAGTTCTTGTCTGGGCAACTGCAACTGGCAATTGGGCGGACATCTGCTCAGGGCTTGTCGGTGTGGTTGTTGAGACGTTTGTGTTGATGACTGTGACTTTCTGTTGTTCACTTGGCTCTTGCGTCGAGAGTTCCGGTGCAAGTGGTTCTTGTAGTTCGTACTTTGGTGTGGGAACAAGTGCTTTTCGGTTACGTCGTACTGTACTAATGTGTGTTTTAACCATGTACGATCTCGGCTCTTGCCTCTGCTGTTGGATCTCACCCTGACGCCTCTGATCTCTTATCCAAACGTTGTCACCAGCCTGAATGGTAGGAAGTAATCTAGCCATGTGGCTCTGATTAAAGTTACGCTGTTGGTTAGATCTGTAAGTGTCTTCTTTTTGACGAATTGTATGGAGATCATTAGTGCTTACTCTTGGATGAAAGGTGTGTGGAAGAACTGGCAATTGAGTGCGAAGTCGTCTTCCCATCAGGAGTTCACCTGGAGATAAACCATTCAGCAGAGGCGTTGACCTATACGAAAGAAGAGCAAGATATGGGTCTTCATTTTAATACGAAGAAGTCCTTTGACAGTGCGAACAGATCTTTCTGCTCCTCCATTTGATGATGGGTGTAATGGAGAGCTTGTGGTATGGATAAATCCATAAGTAGCTGCAAACTTTTGAAAAGCTTCGGCACTAAACTGTGGACCGTTATCCGAAATTACTATGTCAGGGATCCCGTGTTGTGCAAAAAGTTCTTTCAATGAAATGATTACCCCTTCTGATGTCAGTTCACCTAGTCTCTTAATCTCGATCCATCTGGAGTAGTAATCACTGACTACCAAGTATACTATTCCTTTGTACTGGAATAGGTCCATGTTTCTCCCACGGTCGGTCAGGGAATGCAGCAACCATAAGTGGTTCCTTTGGTTCCGGGCGGTTTTTAGCACAGATAAAGCACCTGTTAACCATTTCTCCGATGCTTGATGACATTCCAGGCCACCATATGGATGTGCGAGCCCTAGCACGGCACTTGGTAATTCCTAAATGACCTTGATGGATACAGTCTAGTATCTCTAGTCGCATTGATTTTGGGATTACTAGGCGTTCGTCATACAACAAAAGATCGTCCACCACTGCAAGATGACCTCTATTCTCTCAATATTGTCGGAGAAGTGGTAAATGTGGCATATATGTTGGCCAACCTTGTTTGCAGTAATTTCTGACCAGCATGCAATCTTCATCTGCTTTTTGTGCCGCCATGATTTCCTATAGACGTTGCTGTGTGGCAGGAAGTGCATGAACATGTTGGCCAGCAAATGCTTCAACTTCCTCGATAATGCTGTATATCAGCCTTCTCTGGTGCATGAACTGGTGCACGGGAAAGTGCGTCGGCAACTATCTGGTTTTTCCTAGGTACATGATTCACCTCAGGACAGAATCTCATCAATCTGAGGCAAAATCTTTGAATGCGAGGAGGCATCTTGGCAAGTTCTGTTGTGCTCAATAGTGGAACAAGAGGCTTGTGATCAGTTTATAGTGTAAAATCTAGGCCAAGTACATATTCTGCAAATTTCTCACAGGCCCATGTAGCCGCAAGTGCCTCTTTCTCAATTACGGCGTAGCGTTGTTCGGTGTCAAGCAGAGATCTAGATTCATAACTAACTGGGCGGCGTTTTCCATCATCTTGAATCTGAATGAGGACGGCACCGATTCCGAATGAAGAAGCATCAGCTGCGATGACCGTCGGACGTTGTGGATTGTAGTGAGCTAAGATTTCTGGTGATATCAGAGCATCTTTAACTTTCTGAAAAGCTCTCACTTGATCTGGTCCCCAACACCATGTATTATCCTTGCGTAAGAGCTGCCGTATTGGTTCTGTGAGTACAGCAAGTCCAGGGATAAACTTTCCAAGTTGATTGACCATAGCCATGAAGCGCTGGAGTTCAGGAATATTCGTAGGGGCTGGAAATTGTGCGATGGCAGATGTCTTTTGGGTATCTGCTCTCAGTCCTGATTGGCTGACAATGTGTCCAAGAAACCTAATTTCATGTTTGGCAAACTCACACTTGTCATTCAGTGTCAGACCTGCTTCCTGTAGGCGCTGTAAAACCACTCTCACTAGTTTTTCATGCTCTTCTTGTGTTGAGCTGTGGATCAAGATATTGTCCATGTGATATTCGACATCATGCGCTGAAAAATCTCAGGCGCCGAACTGATTCCGAAAGGCAATCTGTTGAAACAGTACCGGCCGAAGGGTGTAATAAATGTTGTTAGCAACTTTGATTCTGCATCTAAAGGTAGTTGCCAAAATCCACTATTGGCATCGAGTTTGGTAAATATTCTGCTTTTCCCTAGCTTAGCCAAACTTTCATCCACCGACGACATAGGATGTATCTCACGCTGAACGCTTTTGTTAAGTGCTGTTAAATCCACACAAATTCTTACTTTGCCGTTGGATTTTGGTACGCAAACAATGCCGGAGCACCACTCGGTAGGCATCGTCACTGGAGAAATGACTCCTTGTTTGAGCATTCCAGAGATCTCCTCCTTAACTTTAGAAAGCAAAGGATATGGTACCTTTCTAGGAGTGAATAGGCACATTGGTTTTGGGTTTGGTCTTAAAGTGATATGGTATTACGTCTTCAGTTTCCCTAAGCCTGAAAATAGCGCTGGAAACTGTTCTCTGACCCATGTCGACTGAACCTCGTTGATTTTCTCGATGAGACCCAATCATACACATGCAGCTCGGCTGAGGAGTGAGCATGATTGGTTTTCGATTACGTAGACGGATTCACTAATTTTCTTCTTAGTATAGTACTTGCGCTGTTGGCATTAGCATATTCTCCTCCAACCATGGAAGCTTGTCACTGATGACCGTCACCTTTGCTCCTGTATCAAGCTTGAAGTGTGTTAGGTTGTTATTCACCTCTATATGTACACACCAATCATCATCTGTGTCCACCGTTGTAACTATCTCACCTAGATAAGGGCTGTAGTGTAACTCACCAATATCTTGTATTTCATTGATGACGGTACTACCACTGAGGCAAACTGCTTTGAAATGTCCTCGTTTCTGACATTTACCCCATGTGGCATCCTTTGCCGGGCAGTCTCGTCGGTCATGCTGCTGACGACCACACCAACTGCAGTGTGGCTGTTTTCCCAGTGGACGTTTTTGGAGCCTGTGTTTTCTTGTGTTGGAGGTTGGGCCGGTTTTTTTTTGTGTTTGGTAGCCGTGTGTGATGTAGTTGTAGGCTGTCTAACATAGTTCACATTAACTGACATCGAGTCTCCTCTAACCACGTCATGACTTTGCTTCCGTGCTTCTGCTTGGCGACAATACTGTACTGTTTCAGCTAATGTAATATTTGCCTTTGCTTGCAAACGATCAGATAATGTATCATTCTGTACTCCTACAATAATTCGATCTCGAATCAGTTCTTCTTTTAATGCACCATAGTTACATTCGTCTGCTAGCCTATACAAGTCTTGTATGAACGCACCTACATTTTCACCAGGCTTTTGAGTGCGTTTGTTAAATTTCGCCCGTTCTACTATGGTATTTCGACGAACAGCATAATAATCGTTGAGGGCAGTTTTCACTTCATCGTTGGTTGCTGTGGTTTCGTCGATTGTTAGTGTTGTGAGGATGTCATCGGCACATTCGCCCATGGCATAGAGAAGTGTACTCACTTGTTCCCGAGCCGGATTGTTCACGAGGCTTGAGGCGTATCGGTAGCGCTCAAAACTTCTTATCCATTTAGGCCAGAGCTCAGCTTATTTTGGCCCAGTCGACCCTTGAAATTTCTCTGGAATCGGTAGGTGTTGACTGTGGGGGGGGGCACCTGCAGGTTCTGCCATATTTGTGAGTTACACCGCTGCCACCATGTAGCATCAATCAATAATGGTAAAGAGTGAAACAAGCTCGTAACGTAAACTCGTGTTTATTCAATACATAACACAACATGGCAAGACGTCGCTCGTTTCCCTAGAGTATTAGAGGGCGCTATTACTACAGTTCATACTTAATAAGGAGTTTTACAATTCATTTTTATCGCGGTGCGCGATGTATTTGCGGTGACAAAAAAAATGAGGATTTTTTTTTTTTGCACACGAACCTAAAAAAAAAAAATGTTTTCAGTAGTTTCACGCAATACTTTGATTGAACACATAATAAAAGTACATTATGGGCTATCAGTTTTTAAAATATCCATTATTTAAATGGGAAAATCTCTGGAGGTGGGGGGATGGTTTATGTGCAAAAGGGTAAGCAGGAGAATGTCACTAAGGGAAAATAGCCAAAGGTGGGGAATAGTGGGGGTTAATGTTCGGAAAGGGAAATGGCTGTTGCAACCCCACTAGATATGGTTTCTGAGATGCATTATAAATAGATTAGAAACCTATAGATATAAAACAAAATAAGCAATTGATTTTTTTTTACGTAAGGCCTAAGTAATTATTAGTGTCAATGATTGATTAAATCGATCCTTCAATCAATCAATCAATCAATCACTCAATCAATCAATCAATCAAGCAGTCAAGTAACCAATATATCGATCAATTAAAGATAATCCTGCATTCACTTAATTCCTTCATATCCTTTGCTTTTGACGACAATCAATATCTTAAACATTTGAGTTATCCATTTGTGTAAAAAAGTATACATTGATGAAACAGGAAGATGCCTCAACACACATTTTAAATTATGTACCTGACCATACAGGTAGAATCCAAACAAGAGCATACAGAAACCAATCATCAACAGAACTTAACAAATCTGCAATCACTGATCATATGGTAAAAAACAACATCCATGACTGGGAAAAACCTTAACTTACTTAATCCTCTTTATGCTGATGAGTACATAAGACAGTAACAAATGTTTTCCATTGTCCTCTATCCTGCGCCATCTATTATATTTCATTGTTGTTTTTGACATTTGTTTTCTTTCTTCTTCCACCGTTTGTTCTTCTGCCTTCCTCTTTTTTCCCACATTGGTTTCCATCTTTCTGTCTGTCTTGGATGACGATCATTTTTCATTCTAAGCACATATTCAAACCAATTCCATCTCCTCTTTCGAATATCCTCATTTACGTCATTTATTTGGGTTTTTCTCCTAATTTAATGTTTGTTACCCGATCTGGCTACCTGATGTTTAAAATCCTTCTAAGGCATCTCCCTTCAAAACCTCTTAATCTTGATTCCACCTTTCGGTTTGTTCTCCAACTGCCTGCTGCATAAAAAAGAGAAATGACTTGACTTAACTTGAGCAAATTTTTAGCTTCGCCTATAGCATATGTTTGAAAACTATATGAAAACTCCAAGATCCTTGAAAAAAGAAACAGAATGGCAACGCAAGAAAATAAAAGAAGCAATATGGATAAGAAAATCTCAAGATCAAAACAAGATGTAGGGGCGCACCAAATATCCCACATTTATGGTAAATTCTTTAACTCCGGTAGGCCGGGCACCAACATCGCTCGTAAGAATCCTACCAGGATAAAGTTTGGCTTGGCAAGCTGTATCGCTCCACCATACAGCAGCTTTAATAACAACTAGCCAAAATTCAACAGCTGGTGATATCTGACTGACAGCCAGAAGAAACGTCTTGTATTCTATTCTATTGTTTATATAAAACCTGTTAGTGACGATGTTCACCATCGATGTTGGTTGGATTTTAATAAATAAAAATAAATGAAATACCCTGTAGGTTGAAGTGTGTAGGCGTTCCTAACGTCAGTGAAATACAGAGGAGGCCAACCATAAATTATGTGACAAGACGATGATAACAGTAAATTATATAACTAGCAGAAGGTAACAGTAAATTATATAAGTAGTAGGTAGTAACAGTAAAATTATGTGACTACTGGGTGATAAAACTAACATGTATTAAGAGATAATGATTTTTTTTTATTCTATAATTAATTCGTGTTATACGCGTATGATACGATCAATTAATGTCAATAGTGTTACGAAAACACCGCCTTTTCGATACGTAATTAGAAAGGGCTGTTTATACACATGATATCTAGGCCCTGTTGTTTTTGTTCCTCTTCGTTAACTACGGAGTATTGCTGTAGAATATCAAGTTAATGTAATAATTGCATTGCTTTTTCAGCCACCTCGTTACATAGCGTGTCTTCCTTATTTCTTGATCAAAACTGTTTTCCCACCTTCCCACCACAAACTACACCTCAATGGGAGATAGTAATTATACAGTTGGGTCGTTTGTCACCCATATGTTTAGTTGGCCTAAGGTCTAGGCCGTGATTAAATAATATGCAACATTATGTGGCACACTTGTATTAGGATTCTGTTGCCACTCAGTTTACCAATGTAGGTGATAGGTTTAACATTTTACTAACCAGGTGTTTACATGTTGAATAGAATGCATCATGAGTGGATTTCCCGTGCGATTAAAAATCGTAACGGTATTAGGTTTAGTATGCAGGAGTTCGTGCTTCGAACAGGTCATTCCATTCATAGAGGAAGCCTTTTGATGGAGAAAGTGTACCTTTTTTTAGCAAAGGTTTGCCTAGGTCGAAACCAACTCCGGCTATAACATTGATTATAATATTGAAAAATATTAATCTTATTATTGTAGTAGTGATACTATGTACACGTTTTAATTATTGTTATTTATTCGTTAACGTCATTACATTTACATTTAAATTTAATGTATTTTTTAAGTATGAATTACTATGTCCATGTAAAATTAATATTTTCTAATAAAATTGTATATTTTAAGTAATATAGTAATAGACATAGCCTAGGTCTAGTCTAGGCTAGCCTAAACAAGTGACTATATCATATGAGTGTATAACATTATGAAAAATATGAATAAAACGTAAAATTGAGAAACAATAAAGGAAGAAGGAAAAATAGGAAAGAGATTTGGAGCTGCTGAAATAGTTTCCGAAAATATACAATAGTAGTCAATATGCTATTATGAGTGGATTTATGGTACGATTAAAAATCGTAACGATACTGGGTTTGGTCTACAGGAGGTCGTGCTTCGATCAGGTCATTCCATTCATAGAAGTCTTTTGATGTAGAAAGTGTACCTTTTTAGCAAATGTTAGCCTAGGTCGAAACTAACTCCGGATATATAAAATTGATTATAAGATTGAAAAATATTAATCTTATTATTGTAGAAGTGATATTATGTACACATTTTACTTATTGTTATTTATTCGTTAACGTCATTGTATTTACATTAAAATTTAATGTTTTAAGCATGAATTACAATGTCCATGTAAAATTAATCTTATCGATTAAAATTATATATTTTAAATAATATAGTAATAGGCATAGTCTATGTCAAGCAAAGGCTGAGGCCAAAACAAGTGACTATATCATGTGAGTGTATAACATTATGAAAAATATGAATAAAACGTAAAATTATGACAGAATAAAAAAAGAAGGTAAAATAGGAAAGATATTTGGAGAGGCTGAAATATTTTCCAAAAATATACAATAGTCGTCAATATGCTATTAGGCCTATTGCATTACGTTTTTGTAAACAATTTTGGGCACTAATCGTCAGAGGTCTCGGTGCCACAGCCTACACTTTTCATGCCTATTACTATAATATTATTTTAAAATATATAATATACATATTGTTTGCATTTGTGTTTCACAATCATAAATCTAGAACCTAAGCTTGTTTCAGCTCAACTGCTATTAAGTTGACACGAATTTGACCTAAGCCCCAATACTAATTGTTGATGCTACATTTCCTAAAGTCTAACTTTTAAAAGTTTAAAATATTTAAAGTTTGTAATTATCTATAATTTATAATCGGCCTATGGCATTCCTAATATTTATAATATTAATATTTTGTTTTTATTTGTTGTTTTAGGATTATTTAATTAAATAGCCATTTCCATCCTGTTAAAGTATGGGTTGAGGTATTCTGAAGATTCTATACTTACTTTCGCATACCAAGTCATTTCCAGACCAGTTGCCGTCAGCCTGACATGTTCTAGTGGTATCGCCTGATACTGTATTGTATCCTCTGTCACATATGAACATTAGGACAGCATTGTAAGTGAAAATACCGCCATTAACGAATACCCCTTCTCCTACAGAAACTATCCCACAATTAACAACTGAAAAAAGACATTTAAAGATCATAAATTTCAAAATATTATACAAATTTTAATATACTATTATTGACAAGTATGATATTATGGTTGCTACAATTAGTTACTTAGTTATATACAAAATCAAAAATCAAAAGAAATCACTAACCTTGGCAAACAGGGGCGCTCTGTGACCATGTGCCTTCAGGTTGGCATGTGACACTTGCAGCACCCAGCAGGTTATACCCAGTGTTACAGACGTAGGTTACTATGCTTCCGTAAGTTTCGTTAGCACCCATCCTTATTCCATTTATTATTGAACCAGGATCGCCACAGCTGACAACTGTAATGAATAAGTCCAGGTAAAATGTTATCACAAAACATGATTAAAGAAAACACTAACATCAGAAAAACAATACTTTCCATTTTCTCTAAAATTTACACTAAAAAATACTACAGTTTCATTGACCAATTTTGCTTTCAGGTAATCTCTTTTCTGCTGTTTCAATTATTATTGAGGATTTCTTATGGATATGAGATCTATATAATTCTTATTTATTATTACTCTATACCTTCACAAGTGGGAGGTGACCCCGACCAAAGTCCAGTTGCTTCACAAGTCCTGATCATCACTCCATTTATATTATAGCCGATGTTACACGTATAGGTAGTATTCATGCCGAAGGTTGTACCAGTATAGGAAGTCATCCCATTTTCGATGTTGTCCAAGTTACCACAGTCATTAGCTAAAACAAAAATATGTGTCAGTATGGCAGATACGACCAGTTGATGACAGCTAGGGACCAACTAATATGTAATAGGTGATCAAAATTTATTAATTTATATTATTACGTACATTATTTCAATATAATATTATTACCTAACTGACTTCTTACTCAGGCAAGCGTTAGCAAAATTTTTAACAATGTATACAGCTTGAAGACTTACGACTGTACGATGGTAATTTTCCCGACCAAACCTTATCTGGTTGACACTTCCTGAATGTAGAATCATAGAAACACGCACACTTCTACAAACCACAACACTTCTAAAACCACGAGTGGACGACGAATCACATAACATACACCGCAAACAATTTAGAATGAAGGGAAAATATGACACAAATTAAAGCGAAAGATATGAAACCATAGAAGAAGCTGATGTCGTCGGAATGAAGCCGTTGGTTAGAGAAAACAAGAATTTGGAAAAGGTGATGGTAGCGAAGCGAATGGATGACAGACCTACCACGTAGAAACACAACAAGAACGCACACACGAAATCGTATACATTTAGGCAAAACCCATACAAGAAATTTTGAATTGTTATTATTTGAACAGAAATTTGTTAAAATACAGAATAGGAATTCGTTTAAAGAGAAGATACACAACCATGCCGGTATTAAACATAACATCACATTTGTATTTTGTCTATAGAACGCAATTTGATTCTGTATAATATTAGGCTTACAAACTATTCCTACTATCAGGCCCTGGCATCAGGGGCGTAGCGGTCAGGAAATGGAGGTGGCTGATGGGGTGGGAAGATGGGTGATCGGTGATTAAGTGAGTGGGCTAACGCGCACAATACACAATAAGGTGATTTGAGGTGATTTTTTCTTTAGTATAGTTTGTGGGCTGTCTCTTATACACATCTAGATGTGTATAAGAGGGGGGGGGGAACGGGACTGGGGTGGACGAATATCCACACATCTTAGATATGCCAGTACCTAGCATACCCTGTGAATTACCCTACGGTCCGCCACTGAAGAAGAGCCACCCAATCACAAAATACAGGACAAGCTCCAGTCCAAAGCGAACCCCGAAATGAGAACATGGATTCACAAAAAATAAGCAGACACTCAAGCACCTCAAGCAATAAACAAAATCAACCAAACCAAGGAAACACAGTTGAAGCTGATACATTTAAATGCACAAGAACTGGACGAATAATAAATTCAAAGGCGTATCTGAAGGACCATGTACCTTAAATAAAATATAATAGTCATGTGTTCCTAAATGTTCGTAGTGTAACAAAATGGTGCAGTCCACCCCCCCCCCCCATTATAAATAGATTAGGCCACTGCCTAATGCTGGGAGCCGATTGGCTATCTAAAAATAGCTTGGTTGTTATAAATAGATTAGGCCACTGCCTAATGCTGGGAGCCGATTGGCTATCTAAAAATAGCTTGGTTGGGTTCTTCTCGAAAGAAGCCTGGGCAGGCGTAGAAGCCAAAATGGAATCACCATTAGATTCATCAGGAACGAATGCTTCCGTACGAGTGTACGAATACAACCCAACACTCGCCTCGATGACATTCGTAAAGCCCAACTGGAAGATAGTTCAATGCAGAGAGTTATGGAAATCAAGGGACAAGGCGGGCCACAGCCGCCATGGGAGGAAATGGCTAGATTGAGCCGAACTGACCAAGTATACTGGCAGATTTGGGACTTGTTGGAGGTGCGGGATGGAGTTTTGTATCGTAGGTGGGAATCAGATGACGGACATGATATTAGTTGGAAACTAGTCCTTCCAGTAGAGATGAGAGCGGCAGCTCTAGAAGAACTTCATGGGAGAAAAACCAGCGGACATCGGGGAGTTGCAAAGACTACAGCTAGGGTAACTCAAAGTTATTTCTGGCCGTAGATGGGCAGTTGGATTCGAACGTGGATTCGGCAGTGTGATGCTTGCGCCCGAAGGAAATCACCACCCAAGAAAAAGAGAGCACCACTTCAGCAGCAGGCTGTTGGCAGTCCGATGGAGTGGGTGGCGATGGATATTACAGGTCCTTTTCCTGAGTCTGATAGAGGCAATAAGGACATACTCGTTGTTGGCGATTATTTCTCCAAATGGATGGAGGCCTACCCAAGCCCAAATGAGAGGGCCGAAACTGTTGCCCGTTGTTTCGTGGAGAACTTTGTGCTGAGGTATGGTGTCCCACCACAGTTACACACTGATCAGGGGAGAAACTTCCGAGTCGGACATTATTGCAGAATTGTGCAAAACTCTATGGGTAGAGAAGACACGGACGACACCTTACAACCCGAACTCTGATGGCACGGTTGAGCGGTTCAACCGTGAACATGTTGGCAACCATGCTAGATCCACATCGTAATCAAATAGATTGGGATACAACCTTCGCATATAGATGCACTCCGCAAGAATCGACAGGGGAAACACTCAGATGGTGCTAGGATGAGAAGTAGCCCTCCCTCTTGATCTAATGCTACCAACTACTGGACCGCCGGATATCGAGGTGATGACCGACTACGTTGAGCAACTTTGGACAAGTATTCGTGCAGTTCATGAATGGGCGCGACACGTATTGAAGCTTAGTGCACAACGACAAAAGAGAACATATGACCAGAAAACGAGCAGACAGGAACTAGCAGAAGGGCAGTTCGTGTGGCTGTACAATTCAGCCAAGACAATAGGCAAGTCTCCAAGATTACAATGCCGCTGGCAAAGGCCATATGCAGTGGTAAAGAAATTATTAGAGGTAACGTTCAGGATCCAGGAAGGACCAAGGAAGAAGTGCAAGGTGGTCCATATCGACCGACTGAAAGTCTATGAGGGGAAGCCTTTGCCATACAGGGGCATAGCAAGTGAAGCTGAAGCTAGAGACGAGAGGCCGGATATACAAACCCCAATTGAGATGTCGAAACGACACCAACTGAACTTAACGAGTCAGCAGGCAGTAGTCAAGAGTTAGTTGACAAACCACTGGGTTAACAAAGCCTAGACGAATTAAGCGGTGGCCAAGAAGAAGTAGCAGGACTACAAGTTAGTGGAAGTCCACCCGAAATTAACAAGGAATCAGCGGACGTCGTAATACCACCAACAGTTACTGTAGTAGAGCATAGTCTTCCTATGAGGTTCCCGAGGGCCCGAAGAAGGTCCGCTCGCTACGACGAATAGGTACAAGGGAAATATTTTTGCACGGGGGGGGGGGGTGTGGGACTCCACAGAATTATGTTTTGTTTATTACTTTGCTTCTTTTTTAATTAATTAGTCTACAGTTGAGATGAGAAAAGAACGTTCATAAAGGAGTGTTCTTCGAGGTTTGAAGATTCCAGAAGTCTGGGACGACATCGAGACAGAGCACATGCCTCTCGTGAAGATTTCAAGTGCCGATACTGTCCAGGAAGATTCAGCAATCTAGATGCAAGGAGACGGCACTATGACAGGTTCCACCGACGGGGAAGAAGTGTGGGAAGACGGCCTGTTGAACCACCAGTACCAAAGGTTAAAATACCAGTACCAAAGCTTGAAGTACCACGGCCAAATGTAGAAATACCAGTGCCAGAAGTGGTGGTGCTTGCACCAGAGATGGTGGATCCAGCAGGCGATATGTTAAGTTTAACGCCAGGGTCAGCTTTCAGTCCCGTTCAAGAGGAGATTCCAAGTAAGGAGATGTCTCCGGCTATTGTACAAAAGGGAAAACCTAGTAATCTTCTCCGACTGTTAGGTGCAAATGTAAGCAGTGATTCGGAAACTGCCAGTGAGGGTGCGCCAGGGTCGCCGCCCCGATTTCAGACTAAGAGGACTTTAGTGGATTTGTAGGCTTTGTTGCAGGGAAGAACGAAAACCATGAAGGAGATTGTCTGCGAAACGGAATACCGTCACGGAAAGAAAGTTCGGGAAGTGGTGACAACAAGAGAATATACCGTGTTATAGTTTTAAAGACCTAATCGTTTTTTTAAACTTAATCTAAATGGCAATTTTATTTCAATAATTATGTTGTGATTTGTTGTAAAGTTTATAATGATGATTCAGTAATCTTATATGATAACTTATAATGATAATTGGACATGATTACTTCTTTATCTTAGTTAATTTGCTCTTGTTTGTTTAAAATAAATGAGTTTCTTGAGTATCGAAGGGACCGATACATCTGAGGAGCTGTCTCTTATACACATCTAGATGTGTATAAGAGACAGGATAGAGACAATAAGTACATACTCGTTGTTGGCGATTATTTCTCCAAATGGATGGAGGCCTACCCAATCCCAAATGAGAGGGCCGAAACTGTTGCCCGTTGTTTCGTGGAGAACCGTTAGTGTTTAGTAAGGTAGGATTGTAGTAATTCTATAAAATAGTTTATACAGTAGTTGAACTCAGTCATTAAGACTTGAGAGCCCAGTAAAGGACAGGCCTACTTATAGTTTAATTCCGGTGTTAACGGGAACCGGTCGGCGGCTGATGTGTGCTCTGCATATATGACGTATTTGTTGTTGATAATGGTACCAATTTTATTGATCCAATAAATGCTATGAGAAACTCAGTTAATTGTGTTTGAAGTTTATTAACAGTCGATCCGTATTAACTGACGGCGTATCCGACAGACTTGCTTACGCAGGACTTAGACTAGACTGAGACTGCTTGGCCGAAACCGCCACAATACCATTACCCATGTTACAGTTCAGACAAGTTTAGTCACATGTGTCGAATAATGTTTACAACAAGCTATCGTTGAGCCATTTGTTAAAGTTAGTAATATTATTAGAATTAGTTAAAATGTTATTTTTATAGGGTTAGTAGTCAACGTTGATACGTAATGCATAATGCTTAATAGAAAGCACAATTTAATGACAGTAGAAAATCTGACTTAAAAAACGGGTGGGGGGATGTAGTGAGCCCTCTATCTGTACATAATTACTCTACGAGTCATTCAATAAATGTTTGTCACAAAGACTAGACGTATCGTGTGTTGGGGCAGTGTGCATTAGGCAGTTGCTAGGTTAACGTGTCAACTGTCTATTCTCAAAACAAGGTGACACCAATCTCCCGCTCAATGCATGGTAAGTAAAAATAATCACGTGTTTACAAACCTAGACAACGCGTACCAGTGTAACCAGTATGACAAGTGGCGTTTATGTTACAACCCTCTGATGGCTGACATTCATTAGCGTTACAGTGACAATCAAGAAGGCATCCTGGTCCGTACTTTCCTGATGCTCCAGTGTCGCATTCTGTGTTACATCAATGAGAATATATCGTGTTGAACAATCTTTAGGCATATTAACATACTTTCAGAATTGAATATATTGATACATCAAACAAAAATCGTTTACGGTTTGAATTCATAAATTAAAACCATATCTAAATAATTCTTTTTTTTCAATTCATTTTTTTTAATGACGTATAATATTATTAATAATAATAATAATAATAATAATAATAATAATAATAAACTAACAATAACAATATAGTTAACATTGATACTATTTATAATTTTATAATAATGATAAAAATGTACATTTGGAACCTACTTGTAAAGTTAGAGTGTATTATGTGGCAGACTTATTTATTTTAATAAACAATTTACTTGAATTTATAAGCGTATTATTAAGGTGTACGTGTACTGTAAGTGTGTGCGCAGTTGCTTGGCTTACGTGTCAAAAGTCTATTCTCAAGACAAGGTGACACCCATCTAATGCACTATGTAAAATAAATAAAGAAAATCACGTGTTTACAAACCTAGACACCGCGTGCCAGTGTAACCAGCATGACAAGTGGCGTCTGCGTTACAACCCTCTGATGGCTGACATTCAATAGCGTCACAGTGACAATCAAGAAGGCATCCGGGTCCATACTTACCTGTTGTTCCAGTGTCGCATACTATGTTACATGAATGAGAATATATCTGTAGGCCTAATTGCATTCTTTCAGAATTGAATACTGTATATTTATACTTAACCAAAATCGTTTACGGTTTAAATTCATAAATTAAAACCTTATCTAAATAATTTTGTATGCATTATATAATTGAATAATAATAATAATAATAATAATAATAATAATAATAATAATAATAATAATAAAAATAACAATAATAATAATAATAATAATAATTATTATTATTATTATTATTATTATTATACTGATAATAATAATAACAATAATAATAACAATAATAACAAGTGAGCGCATATCTCCGCCCACCGCAAATCCCTTTCCATAAAATAAATCTCCCAAAATATGTTCATAATTTACTTCAACCACCGCCACTACCACCCCTACTCACTTTGTCGTACAGAAAACGAAAACCCACACGTGACACACACACAAAAAAACTTCCACGACTGAAAACATATCTCCTGGTGGAGATAATAATAAAAATAATGATAATAATTATTATTATTATTAGAATAATAACAATAATAATTAATCATTATTTGATAGGTTTCTGTATTTTTCTCCTGTTATCATACCTAAATGTACACTTTTATGCATAAACATTCTGTCAACTTTGAAATGTATATGAACAAATATGAAATAAATTATGCGAAATTTACCTTTCCTGCAATCAAGGCCACAATAACCAGACATACACGAACAACCGAAAGGATCAGGAGGGCAAAACAACACTCCTGGACAACCTGGTCTAGCGCTGCTGCATTTTATAGTGCAATCGCGGCCCCAATTATTATGACCACACGCTATGAACATAAGAAATGAGCATTAAAAATTACGATCATTTCATTCTATTATTTGCATAAAAATATACAATCCTCAGCATTCTATAATAAAGCATCAAAATGTTATTTTAATTAATATTAGAAAAGCACAGGAACAGATTGTAAGAATATATTTTTGATTATATTTTAATAGAAATAGTTAGATTTCGGTATAATTATGTATCTTATATTGAAGTTAATATTTTTTTTTTATTTTCTACAAAAAAAATATTATAAGAATGAATACTAAATATTTATCAATTTAGACTTCATAAAAACATTAACATATTTTATTAACATTAACGAATCAATAAATCAACATTATAAATTAAGATCATTTCATTCTATTATTTGCATGAAAAATATATAAACCTCTGCTTTCTATAATAAGGAATTAAAATTAAACTTTAATTAATATTCGAATTTTAATTATTATATTCTATTGATTAACTAATAATAGACACCACAATAATCAACATTAATCCTACCATTTTGACAGTTATCTCCAGTGAAGCCCGGGGGGCAGATGCAAGATCCAAACTGAACAGAACACACACCCCCATTGTAGCATACGGGACAATCGTTACCACAATCAGGAGGCAGCCACTTTCCACGAGGGCACCCTGTCAATTATCAAATAGGCCTAATTATACTTTATTCATAAATATATTATCCCAAAAATTGATAAGAATAATAATAAAATAATAATAATAATAATAGACCTAATAACAACTAAACTTACTATGTCTGTTTGTGCAACTTAACATAGGGCTTTTCCTCATTGCAATAATGAGAAATGAAGTTGAAATTGCAACCAAAAAAAAGTCGTTAAAAAGTATAAAGAAAAAAAGGACGGAAACCCTAAATACTTATTGTACAAAATATGAGGTAAAAAAATTGAAAAGCAAGTTCAGAACTACCGCCAAGTTAATGAGATTCGAAATATTGCTGCAATGGTAATAACGAGATAGGCCTACATGGGAGACCAGTGGATTTTCCCGACTAGGCGGTCTGAGGTCCCCGACAAAGGGTCGATTTTCCCGACAAAAAAAAGTGCACGTGGTCGGGCGTCGCTCAAAATTCCTCGAAAGTAATCCATGGGGCTCGATAAATATGAAAATTTAGTGGTTTTAAAAGTTTATTTAATTGATTTTCTGTCTAACATTGTAAAAAATACATGTACATTTTTTTCTCCCAGACGAATTGTTGTTTTTTTTCCCAAATGGGGATGGCAGCTCTAACCGACGGGGGCCCTTGCCCCGGCGCCCACTCCCTTCCCACTGGTGCCACCTCTGATGGAGACTCATAAGCATTTCGCGCTATATGAGCCGACCTTCATAGCAAATCAGTGGCTGAAAGCAAAAATTGTTCATGCATACCACGGTAGTTTTGAGTTTAACATAGCTGGCTTTAGAAAACGCAAATTGCGTTTATATAATTTGATCAGCAGTCAAAAAAAACCCCAAATGAATAGTCCTCATATCCACACCCTACTGCTGATCATCACCAAAATTTGATAATTTCTTCGTTTGACCATGAAAAACTATTCTGCAAAGTTTTATTTTTATCCATTTATCAGGGACGGCGGAACGTTTTTCAAAGTGTTGGGGGGGGGGGGCACTTATTAGATGAATGGGAATATGAATCATGCAGATCTGGAATCAAACCTAGGTGGTGGGGTCAACATTTCTCTCCGGGGAAAAAGTTGATTTCTAGATGGCGGGAAATGACCTTTCTAGGTGGCTAGGTGTCTAATGACTTTGTTCTTCAAAATTCAAGGTTTTCCCCCCTCTTGAAAACGGTAAGGTAAACTTTCTCATTACAATAAATTGGCCTGTAATGTGTGTATACATACATTTAAAAAATAAGTAGTTGCATACGTGTTCTTTTTTCAATGAATCGATAAGCTCCAAGGAAAAGCGGGGTCCGGGGTTCTCCCTGGGAAAATTTTGATTCCTAGAAGGCGGGAAATAAGTTTTCCCGACTTCTGAGGTGTCTTTTAATCACTTTTAAGTTCTTCAAAATTCAAGGTATTCCCCTCTTGAAAACGGTCAGGTAATTTTTTTCCCATTGTTATTACAGTAAATAGGCCTTATGTGTGTATACGTACATACACTTTTTTTTTAAATGAGTAGTTGTATACGAATTTTCCATAAATGGATGAATCCCAAAAAGAGAGGGGGTCCGGGAAAATTTTGATTCCTAGAAGGCGAGAAATTCTGAGTTGTCTTTTAATCACTTTTAAGTTCTTCAAAATTCAAGGTTTTCCCCTCTTGAAAATTATTATAATGAATCAATGAATCAAAAGAGAAAAGGGAAGTTCAGGTTCTTCCCGGGAAAATGTTGATTTCTAAGTGGTGGGAAATGAGTTTTCCCGACTTCTGAAGTATCTTTTAGCGACTTTAATTTAAGTTCTTCAAAATTCAAGGTTTTCCCCTCTTGAAAATTATTATAATGAATCAATGAACCCAAAGAGAAAAGGGAGGTTCAGGTTCTTTCTGGGAAAATGTTGATTTCTAAATGGTGGGAAATGAGCTTTCCCGACTTCTGAAGTGTCTTTTAGTGATTTTAAAAGTTCTTCCAAAATTTAAGGTTTTCCCCTCTTGAAAACGGCCAGGTAAATTTTTCACATTGTTATTACAGTAGATGGGCCTTATGTGTACATACATAGGCCTACACAAAAAAATTTAGTAGTTCAATACGATTTTTTTCCATGAATCGATAAATCCAAAAAAGAAATGGGGCCCGGGGATTCTCCCCCAGGAAAATTTTGATTCCTAGAAGGCGGAAAATGAGCTTTCCCGACTTCTGAGGTGTCTTTTAATTACTTTTAATTTCTTCAAAATTTAAGGTTTTCCCCTCTTGAAAATTATTATAATGAACCAATGAACTCAAAGAAAGGGAGGTTTGAAGGTTTCCACTCTTGAAAACGGTAAAAATGATTAAATTAATCACTGAACTCCAAAGAAAAAGGTCTGTGTTCCCCCGGGAAAAGTTCGATTCCTAGATGGCGGGAAATGAGCTTTCCTGACTTCTGATATTTATTTTAATGACTTTTAAAGTTCTTGAAAATTCAAGGTTTTCTCCTCTTGAAAACCGTCAGGTAAATTTTTCTCATTTTTTTATTTTCTGTGTGTATACATACATAAACAAATGATTAGTTGCATGCGTATTCTTTTTGCCATGAATCTATAAATCCCAAAAAGAAAGGGTGGTCCGGGGGTTCTCCCCCTTGAAAATTTTGCTTCCTAGATGGCGGGAAATGAGCTTTCCTGACATTTGAAGTGTGTTTTAATGACTTTCATGTTGTTCAAAATTCAAATTTTCTTATTGTAACAACAGCAAAAAAAAAATCAGCTCACGGGTCCGGAAAAGGTAGGTCTAGAATTCTTTTTCTTTTCCCCCTTTTTTTTTTGTTGCCAAAAGGGAGGGGTCAGGACCCATGACCCCTCCCCCAGATCCGCCAATGTGAATTGCGAGAAAATGTAACTCGATCGGGGACTGGATAAACATTCTCTTTCCCATCCTTCTCCTTCTTCCCTCCTTCGTTTCTTGCATATCCGATCATACAAAAATCTCCAGACATTATATATTTTTTGCCGGTTCCGCCAGCCGTGTTTATAACTGGGATGTAAGCATTTAAATGACCCTCAAATTTACACCATAACCAGGATCGTCCCCAATACATAACAAAGTTTCATTCGGATCAGTTAAAACGTTTTTGAAATATCTGGCCTTTGACATTTTCCTTTGAATGGCCCTCATATCCACACCCTACTCCGGATCGTCACAAATATTTAATCATTTCTTTACCAGACCTTGACAAACTATTATAAAGTTTCAGTTAAACCCATTAAAAACTTTTTAGAAATATTTAGGTGTGAGATATCAGAAATTTTAATGACACTCACATTTACACCCTCAACTCGATTGTCCCAAACACATAAGATATTTCTTTCTTGTAAAACTTCCCTGAAAGTTTCATTTAGATCAGTTGATCCGTTTTTTAAATATCTGGTCTGTGACGTTTTCCTTTGAATGGTCCTCAGATCCACATGCTACCCCGGGTTTACTAGGACTTGACAAACTGTTTTAATTATACCCATTTTATTTTTTTAAAGAGATATTTAGGTTCTGGACCTCAAAAATTTAATTGATCCTCCAATTTGCACCCTTAACTGGATCGTCCTCAACAGATAATAATTTCTTCCTTGTAACTTGTAATGTAACTTTCCCGAAAGTTAAATTCTGGTCAATTGATCTGTTTTTAAAATATCTGGTGTAGACTGTTTGCCCTTAAACCATTTTAATTGGTCCCCACATGCACACCCCACCTTAAATTTTATACTAGATATCAGGAGGCACATCCTTGATATATGATCTATGCTTCGGCAAAGCATGGAAAAGTTCCAAGCTTGGGAAATGACGAAAGTGCCGGCCAGAAAATCAAGTCTGTATTAGACGACTACAAAAATTATAACCAAAAAAGAACACTTCATAAGAGAGTGGA